TGTTAGCTTTGCCTAATTTTGATGGCTTGTGTTTTAGCTATCCAACATTGGAGACCCTACTTATTGGGAAGAAAATTTTTGGTGTCGACTAAACAAAGGAGTCTTAAGGATTTGTTACAACAAAAAATTATTACTAGTGAGCAATAAAACTGGGTAGCTAAGTTGTTGGGTTTCAATTTTGACATCCGTTACAAGTCTGGGCGATTGAATTAAGGAGCAGATGTGTTATCCTGAATTCAAGAGGAAAGTGAATTCAATAATTTTGTGTCCTATCCATTTTGGAAAGAGTTTCAGCAGGTGCATCAAGAGATACATGATGATGAGAAGTTAAGCAAATTTTGGCAGGATTTATCTGTGGATCCTACAACACATCCTGAGTTCAGTATACAACAGGGCACGTTGTTATGCAAAGGGAGGTTAGTTATGTCACCACAGTCAGTGTTGATTCCTAGAATGATGCAGGAATTTCATAGTTCACCTCAAGGAGGGCATTCAGGTTTCCTGAGAACTTACAGAAGAATAGTTGTTAATGTATATTGGCCTGGAATGAAGAATATTGTCTAGGAATTTGTAAAAGGTGTGATACTTGTCAGAGACATAAATATGTAGCAGCATCTCCAGGAGGCCTTCTTCAGCCACTACCAGTCCCAATGAATGTGTGGGAAGACTTATCAATGGACTTCATTATCGATTTTTCGAAATCCAAAGGTTATGAAGTTGTGATGGTGGTAGTAGACATATTATCTAAGTACTCCCATTTTGTGCCTCTCAAACATCCTTACACGGCCAGAAGTCTTGTTGAGATATTTTTCAAAGAAATCGCAAGGTTGCACGGTATCCCTATGTCAATTGTGAGCGATCGGGATCCTATATTCATGAGTCATTTTTGGAGAGCTCTTCAAATTACAGGGTCCACATTTGAAGTTTAGTTCAGCCTACCATCCCGAGGCGGATGGACATACCGAGGTAGTTAATCGTTGTCTCGAAACCTATCTTCGTTGTTTTGCTATCGATCAACCCAAGGTGTGGATGAATTGAATTTCATGGGCAGAATACTGGTTCAATACCACTTACCATTCTACAACCCAATAGACCCCTTTTGAGGTTGTATATGGAAGGAAAGCACATGTTTTGGTTCGTTGGGGAATTGTCGAGACATGTCTTGAAGTTGTTTCAAGAGAGTTACAGGACAGAGATGAGGCATTGCGCCAATTGGGAGATTAGTTGCTAAAGGCGCGGTGCAGATTGAAAGCACAGGCAGATGCTAACAGAGTAGAGAAATCCTTTGAGATTGGAGAATGGGTGTTTGTTAAACTGAGGGCACATAGACAACAGTATGTAGTTTCTCGTATTCATGCCAAGTTAGCAGCACGATATTTTGACCCATACCCGGTGATTGACAGAGTTGGTGTTATAGCGTACAAGCTAAAGCTACCTGAGAGGTCGAAAATCCACCCCGTTTTTCATGTGTCTTTGCTTAAGAAAGTTGTAGGAAATTATCAGGGTAAAGAGAACTTACCTGACCAGTTGAAAGGTGAAGAACAAGATATACTAGAGGCTAACAAGGTGCTGGTATCTAGGAAGGTTACGAAGCAAGGCAAAGAAGTGCAACAGTGGTTAGTACAATGGAAGGGTCAGACAGCAGATGAAGCAACTTGGGAAGATGTTGTGACAATTAGAAGTCAATTTCCGACATTTCACCTTGAGGACAAGGTTAAAGTTTCAGAAGGGAGTATTGATAGAGACCACGTGAGGGGGAATGAGACAAATGAGACTATGGTTTATCATCAGCCCAATGGGCCCAAGATATGGAGAGTTTATTCTAGAAGGGGTAAAAAGGAGAAAGAACAATAATTCTGTTAGAGTGTGCAAAGAGAGAATGATTGTACTATTCCTCAATATGAGGAATGATTGAGAGGTTGAGAGGATTACTTTAGACAATATTATGTTGGTTAGTCATGAATAGGAGGTCTAGCCACCTATAGAAGCTTGCTTTGTGTCAGATTTAGGGTCATTTCCCTCTCTATTATTCCACTTTTTCATCAATTAATAAAACAATCATTCTACTGTGTGTTTGCTGCATTATTTCATACTATTTCTGCTTGTCCTTTGTTGGGTTCCCAACAGACATGACTAATTAGGAGTTAATCAGAAAGAAACCAAACACCTACTAATTTATTGCAATTGCCATGATCACAATTGTTCATATATTTACCTAATGCTAATCCTAATATTCTCCAACTAACTGGAGCTACATAACTGATGCATCAGTCATGGTTACAAATAACATCAATATTTGCAGAGAATGATGCAAAAATGAATTTCAAAACTGAGATATATTTGAGAAAGAAAAAGAAGATATATAAGTATTTACTTCAAGATAACTAAACTCCACAAATTTGTTTTATGAGTTTAGTTGGGAGGTACCATGTCAATAGAAGCAATCATGGAGACATGTCCCACATCAGGATATTGGATGCATGTAGGGCTGGCAATGAACCAAACTAACTCGAAGATAGTTCGGAATTCGACTCGACAATTAAATCGTTGAACTAGGTTCATGAACCAAATGAGTTGAGTATGAGCGAAAAATTAAGTTCGTTAACTAAATGAGCTGAACTTGAACTATACATAGTTCGACTCGTTAGGTTCATGAGTCAACTCGGTTACATATGAAAAGAATTATATTGTCTTTAAGATTAGGTTTAAATATTTACTTCAAAACTTAGACAAATTTAATCTTCAATTTAGTAGTTTTTGAATTAGACTCTCAAATGTATCTCTTGAAAGTTGTGTAGGTTTTGAATTAGTAGATTTCAAAGATAAAGTTAAATTTCAATATGATAACTTTTATTTTATTTTAATATTTTATTTAAAAAATATATATTTATTTAAAATGTCAAATATACTAAAAAATATATATATTTAAAAAAATAGTTTTTAAGTTCGTGAACCATGTGAGATGAACCTAATGAGATGAACCTAACGAGTCGAACCGAACTGTTCGTGAACTTATAACGAGTCGAGTTTGAGCTTAAAAAAAAGTTCGTGTCGAACTCGAACTCGAACTCGAATTCGAACAATTCTTAACGAGTCGAGCCGAGCTGAGGTGAGTTCGACTCGACTCGACTCATTTCCAGCCCTAGATGCATGGTTTTGAATATGATAGACAAAATGAAATTTGTGTATAATCTGCAAACCGGTATCATGGTATACAATCAATCAAGGTGCAAATTAGGAAATAATCAGTATCTATGTTGCACACAATAACTATTTATTCAACAGAAAGCACCATAATTACTGTTATAACCAGTACACGTGCTAATCAAATAAACAATGTCCAAATTGGCCAGCTCGCTGTACAACATGTAAACTAATCGTATCTGATTCGCAATATCTATACTAAGATATTTTCCCCTGTATATAGAACTTCCTTTTTATAAATAAACCTATTTGGAAGCCCACAAGCTCACAGTGATTTGTGAGAAACATGCTTTAACTTGTACAAATGATAGTGCGGTTCAATATTGTTAAACTTCAATCTGAATTGCTGGGTCCTTGACATTTTCTACTTCAAAAGCATATTCGTATTGTGGCCTCGTATCATAAAAAAATTTAACTCAATGTGCCAGAAAATTCTTGACCACTGAAGCGCGAATTTGGAGCCATTATTCCCTGAAAATTAGGCACATATTCTAGATCAGAATAAACGTGTCCAAGAAGCAATCAGAAACATTGATCGGCATCATTGAAGAAACATTAATAATAGAAATAAACTCTTGAGGATGAAATATTTGAACTGTATAAATCTAAAATCATAGCACAAACAGGAGATAGATTTGCAAAAGCAACATAATGTATTTTATTTCATAGAAGAAAGTAGACAACAAGTTACTCGTCAATATTACTTCATAGAAGAAAAGTAGACAACAAGTTACTCATCAATATTTGCTATGTGCGTCTAAAAACAGATAGAAATATTATCAAGAAACATATGAGCAAAGAAAAGAGCTTGTAAGAAACAGTTGGCACACATCTGCTGGCTGTAAAAAATGGCAGGGCATAAACTCAGAAAACTGTACCAGAAAGTTACATCGGGAATTATGCAATGTGCCATTTTAAATGCATTTCATCTTGAATATAATGAACGAAAAATCTACGTGCCCAAAACAATTTAATAGAGATCTATGAAACAATTATAAGCAAAAATAATTTCACATTACTTTAAAAAGTTAGTTAAGTGTAATTAATTTTCTTGATTTCATTTACAATCAAAGTAAACTTTACTATATATTTGATGAATCAACTACCAGCATTAAATGCTTGTGAATTAAATTATGGGTATAATGGTAATACAAGCATTAATTAGATTTAAAAATAGTGATGATTTTTGCTTATAATAGTGACCAAAATTTAAGGGTTTTTTTTCCTTATAATAGTGATAGAAGGGAGTACTAACACACCTTTCCATGGAATCAGTACAATGCTGGCCTCACTTTGTCATTTTTCAAGGTAAACCTGAATATGAAACCATAGCTAAGAAATTTGAATCTTTTCACTCAAATCATTTTCTTAAACCCAAAAGTAAAAAATGTAATAAATCAGATAAAATAGAACCAATGCACAGAAAACAGGCTATTAAGACCATTAACCAAAGGATATTGAATACATACAAGAATGGTTGTGTCCAAAATCCACCTAATGGACTTCCTTCATATTTCACACTTTATACACCTACCTCTCTACATACTAAGTTTGATGGTTATCGATTATATTACATACTTTCTACATACCAAGTTTGACAGTTATTTAAACCTCTCTTAAGCGCTACAGATGCAACAAAAGTGCTATCAATGCTCAAGACAATGAACATTCTATCTCATGTATCTATTATCACAGCATTTGCCAGGGATCAATAATTAATGTTGCTACATTAATTTCAATAGCCAAAAAAATAATAAAAGTATTGAGTAAGCATTATACCTATTCTGATGCTCTGCCTAGTACTTATTGTCTACTTGTACCATCAAATGGCGATAATAACGTCCCCGTATTATTCTGTGCCAATAAAATTGAATCAACTGGGGGAACCTGAGCTGCATCCGCTGCTGGACAAGCCTGCAACAAAATGTTAGTTTAAATAAGTACTTTAATCCTCAGCAGTTTATTACCAACATGCTGAAAAGAAAGAAAACCACTTACCATCTTACTAAACACCTCTGAATTCCTCTAGATATGGGACGAAAGAAGGGTGGATCCCGTTGAGCATAAAGCAACCCCACCTGCCATAGACCACTAATCGGTTAAAAAAAGGTAAATATTTCCATATACAATGTTTTAAGGGACATGATGTCAATAAATTAGTTTACTAACATAGTTAAAGTAATTCAAAGCCTTGAAAACTGAATAGCTAGTCCTACCTGCTGGGAAAAGGGTTTTTTTATACTTATAGTTGTTGTATACTATTGAATAATAAAATAACATGAGCTTTATTTCCAAATTTACCGAAGTTATCGTTCGATACATTTAGCTGATTCCGCCTAAAGGATTAGCTAGGTTGCTATTTTTTGAAGTTCTGCTGTAAAAAAACCAGTGATTCGCCTATTTAATGTTTAATAGTACTGAATTCAAAATAAAAGTCCAGCCATAACAACCAAACGGGTTAGATATGTTTTGGGACTCCATTGATGGTAGAGGGCTAGAGGCCATAAGTGGCAATTTATCATATTTGAGGGATTGAAACCAAAAAACATTTTAAGACCAAAAAAATGAAATAAAATAAATTTATTGAAAGATACGACTGAATGACCTAGTTACTAGTTATTAGTAATACAGAAAGTGGCAAGGGATATCCTATTGGGTCATTGGGTTTTCTGGAAAAGAATTTAGAAAACAGAGATGATATACCTGCAGTAATGCAACAGCAGAAGGATCATCAAATATTTCTTCACTGTATTCAATTCGATAATTGACCTGACATGAAGATAATGATAATGAACAGTAAGAGCAGAGATTACAATCTAAGCAAAACTTTACATAGTCTGTAAGTAAACAAAATAATGCTACCCTCAGCGCTATAAATATCTAATTATAGTACTTGATACTACTTCCACATAAAAAGAAATACTACCAACACAATCTTCGACACTCAGTAAGAAATAACCTAAGCTTACTTAGGTTTTTTAGAGGGGCCAACATGGGATCTCACCATGTAATGAATCATGAAGATTCTATTTGAACTTTTTAATACAACAAAATATAGTATCTGAAAAAGTAAATCTTCCAAATAAATTTCCAAAAAAAAAGGTATCTAGATGGATTCTAGAATTACAAGGAAAATTTATAGAACAATAATCTTACATCAGAAACAGAAAACGGGAAGATTAAAAAAAGGAAAAAGGAAAAGTAGAGATAGACTTAGAGAAGCAAGCTTGATACTCTTTCTGACCTCACAGAACACACACTCCCTCACAAACTCAGTGCCCCTTTTGGTCCGGTTCCCTCCACATCATATTGCCTTCACTCTCCATGCTTGCTACACTTTATTCACCAAAAAGAACACCTATGTACCACATTTGTGGAGGGGATGTGATGGGGCTTTAATCATGTTTATACTAAAAGAGGAAATTGGCTGGTCCTGGTGAACGAAAGGAGCAGGAAAACTATTGTTTTGATGAGTTAAGAAGTGTTGGACAGCGACTGTAATAGACTGTAAGTGAAACTTGGTAATGAAGAGAAAGAATAACAAAAGGGTGAATAAAGTGGAGGTGGAAGGGAATGAGAGAGGCTAGTGGAAATTTTGGAAAGACATTTGGTGAGTTAAACCAGGAGGGGCTAAAAAAACTTCAACACACAACTCAAAAGAGCAGAGACGCCGTCCTATAATTTTGCACTATCATATCCATGCATATGTGTATGCTTATTTTTTCCGATAGAGCTGTTTTCCACAAAGGCCATTTAAAAACTGAAAAAGATAAGCACATTTACCCCAAAGTCTGCATTGACCAGAGATTTAACAAAATCCATCAATTGAAGCTTTGCCCATTCCATGCGCAACTTAGGGTCATCAACCTTTGGTGGATGCCTCCAAGGTGCACCAAAACGCAATCTGTCATCAGAAACCTTTCCATTGCGCACATCAATTGCAAATTTTTGCAAGATCTCCAACGCTCCATCCAATGCAGGATTCACGACAGAAATCTATACGAAGTTTGATAATTTTACGCACCATTAGTCATACATGCAGAAGGGAGAAAACTAATACATAAATAATTTAACCAAAAAAGTATGAAACGTGTATTCCCTATGGTTATGAAAAAACACAACAAAAATCAAACATATTTCCTCCACCAGAGAGAGGCAAGGGAATAAGAACCTCTCATTTTTTATTCTTTTAAGGAGCTAAGTTATGAGATTACAGGGATGGATACCGCTAATATAAAGAAATCATTAAAACGAATGTTGATGCATGCCTATGGTTTTTAACTTTTGAATCTTATACGGTAAACAGTTTTAACTCTTGGTATAAAAATTAGAATATTATATTTTTCTAGGTTATCAAAATTTTAGTTAGGCTGTCAAAAATTTACTGCAATTTGATAATGTATTCAGTAAATAGGATTTTCTTTCTTTGGTGAAAATATGTGTGTTTTAAGTGAATCAGAGGGATGTGTGCATCAAGAAGTGAATGTATGAACATTAAATTGGTGATGAGAGAAGAAAACACAATGATAAATAAGGGTGGAAAACAAGATATATTGAGCATCCAATAACTTTTATTTCTTGTTTACTCAGCCAAATACAAGTCACACAATTCTTCTTGGCTCAACTGAATATTGATCACTCCTACCACCACCTTTACTGCTGCAAATCTCCTTTAAGTCCTAGAATAAACCAAAACCTTACTGATTGAATTCCTTAAACAAGATATCTAAAAATTTAATAATAAATTGGTACTATTATACTTAGAGAGATACATATATATATTAATTCAAATTATTGTTCTCAAAAATGTGTTTCATAACAAGAAAGAATCTCTCCCAAAAAATAAAATGCATCCATTCAAAACTTTAGACCACTGTCACAAACCTTTCAACATCCATAATGTAAATATTGTCAGAGCCGAACCCTTTTTTTTCGTTCTAAATCCAAGAGGAGGAAAAAAACATTGAGCTATCATTGAAACCCTGTGTGTTGAGTTTGCATGCTCTTGTTTCAAAGCTTAAGAGTCAAAAACTTCCCTAAAGTACTTCTATTTATTCAGTGTAGTTATGTATTTATACATTAAGCTATTTATTCTACGTAGTGCCATTGGATTCTGGCAAAGGAATGTAATTGAGAATTGAGCACTTGGGAGAAAATTTAGGTGATGAAAAAATGTACTACTACTTTTTGTCATGCTGCCTGAGATAATTGTCTAATCTCAAGACAAACCAAAAAAAAAAGTCTTATCCCACTAGCTGGGGTCAGCTATTTACTTAATTTTAAGACTTCCCTAAAAGTGTCCATATGGCAGTTTCAGTTGAAGGACACTCCAATCATTGAGAGGAATATCGTAAATAAAGGAGATTTGCAGCTTTGGACAATGGAGTGTTAATTATAATAGTTCTCATTGTGTAGAGTTGATTGCCCAGATCGATCGTGTTGGTTATCAGATTATGTGAAGATCATATGGGTTAATTTTTGGAAGGCGGCTACGCGTATAACTGAGTCTAACATAACGAGTAGCTCAAACTGCAAAGTGAAAAGAACAAAAGTTATATAAAGTGAAGTATGTATATATTGACGTTATTTTGTAGCATTTTGTTAGCTGGATATTGACATTGTGCATTTTTTGGGGTCAAACTTTTTTCTTCTAATTTTATTATCCACCCATATTTTTATAATTATACATGTACGATGCATGGGTAAAAGATGCTAGTTCTCCAAAAATCAATTGATGCCCTTGATTATAGTTTGAGACGATAATTGGATCCAGAATGAGAAAGTCTTTGAAACTTACCTGCAAATATGCTAGATAAGCATCTACAATGTCTTCAAATGTACTAGCTCTGTCTGCTGTTGTCCTGCAGTTAAATAAAAGCATCAGCCAGTAAGAAATACGATCCCAATAATTTGAAAGGATTATACAACCCCTACGATAATGCAAAGATCTTGCACTCACTCCAATGGTCAAAAGTGTATCATACAACCCTTACGTCATAGATAAGACTTGAGAGTAATAAAAGAATCTAAAATAAATAAATCTTACTTGTGCAGATAATTGTTTTGTTTAAGTGCATAAAGCTCAAATAGATGTCGAGGGTTTGGCCCAAGAACCTCAGCAATCACTTTCCACTGAAATTTAAGGACTAATAGTTAAAAGTAACAGAAATTGCAAGGAGCTAAAATAAGTACATCAACAAACTAAAATTTGTTTCAAAATAATATCCATACTTCTGAGTGACTAAAATAGTCTGTGACCATGTGCATTTGAGCTTCTTGTGGAGTCCACCCAAAGGTCTGCCAGCCAAAGTTGTTTGATGAATAACATAAACTAAACCGATAGCTAATAAAAAAGTATTAACAGACACTCGTCTCCCTTATGCAGTTGCAAACATGCAAAAGGACAAAGTATCTCAAAATTATCTTGACTTCATAACCAAATTCAAGAGGCAATCAAAATTAAGTGGACACCTACTGTCTTGATGAACTTTCATTGCAGGTAAAGGCAAATATATATACAATAACATGGTTCCGAGCTACAAGTTGCCTGTAGTATACTTATGACGTACTTAGCATAAAAATCAGCATCAAATTAGTTAGATTGAAATTTATTTTAAGAGAATAGAACCCTATCCTAGGTGAAATCATCAGCTAATTTAAACCTAATCTAAGGCTTAAATAGTTCTCCCACCTCTCTATAACGGCACTTTCTCATCATAGTTGTCACTGCCATAATTAAGCTACTCTAAGCATGTTTTTTGAAGGGGTTGTGGCATTAAAACCATATGCCAACAAATGGTCTCAAATTTTAAGTTGGGTCTAACTCAACCTTACAAAACCGATTTGTAAGGTGAGGATTACCCCCATTTATAAACACAACACAGGCGATATCTCTAAGCAATGTGGAACTATATCCAACCCTTCAAAGCAAAAGTGCCGCAATTAAGGCGACGAGGAGCAGGCCGCAATTAAGGCGGAAAGTCCAACACACCTCCTCATGCTTGGGCCTCAATGAGCCCAAAGTGTGGACGACGTGGGAAAACCCAACAATAGATCTAGGATAAGCTCTGATACCATCTCAAAATTTAGGTTGGGCCTAACTCAACCCTACAAAACCGGCTTGTAAGGTGAGGATTGCCCCCATTTATAAACACAACACAGTTCATATTTCTAAGCAATGTGGGACTATATCCACCCCTTCAAAGCTAACACAATGAAGGTGTTAGAGACTGCAATGAGGCGAGCCAAAGTGACGCAATTAAGGCGACTAGGGGCGGACCGCAATTAAGGCGGAAAGTCCAACAAATGGTTTAGTGCAATCAAAGAGACAAGTAGAACTCGTTTTTTCACATTGCTTGTCTTACATTGGATTGGACATTGGGCAGCCAAACTAGTACTTTTAATTCTAAATGCCTTTTTAACCAAGTTTCAAGGCCAGAAAAGTGTAACGGTCAAGAACAAAAGCAAAAACAGAGGCACAGCCACAGAGGAAAGAATAGAATGGAAGCATTTGCCTAGTTAGCTTTCAAACATGTATTTGTTGCATTGTTCTTCAAATTAAGTAAATATTGTAGAATATTATAAAATATGTTATAATATCTTTTATATTGATTCTGAGTATCTTAGAATATCTCTTAGTATCAGATTTGATACTAGTTATTATTATCATGATTTGTTCTTGATTTAGGATTGAGTCTATCCCTATAAGAATTAGTATTGAGTCTTTTGTATCAAATCAATAGTCATTATCAAAAATATTTTTCTCACATCTTTTACAAATAATCACAAACTCAACACATAAGTTTTGCATATGCCCAAGAAAAGAGTATTGAACGCTGGGATTGAGCAGCACTCGAAGTGAAACAGAAATGGATAATCACCCTTTGTGACCTTTGTAATATTCCCCAACATGCATATTCATTACAATTTCAGTAAGAGTAGTACCTCTTACACAGACTATTTAGTCACTGCATTGGTGTTTGGTGAAAATGATAAAATTATTCTATATTGTCACGAGCTATGAAGCACGGACACCCTGAACACGATACCGACACCGACACAGTGACACCGGTTAAAATTTGAAAGTATGAATAAACTAAAGGTGATCACAAGTGTCGGTGTCCGACACGAACACGGACACGCCGCTTTTCAGAGGTGTCGGTGCTACATACGTTACGAGTCTTAAATGGATTCTAAAAAATCTAAAAAATGAGCTTATCATTGAAACTATATAATGAATTTTGTTAAACTTGTGTTCCCCGCCCCTCACTAGTCAGGCAAACTTTGCCAATCAAAGAAAGTACAGTGATGACGTTATTTCTTAATGTTACTCTCTGTAGGTAAATATCTTTCACTTCGCTTCTAGCTACTAGAAAACAAGTCTTGTCATAGTTGGAGTTCTTACCAGTTTGCCTAGGGGTCACAACTCACAAGTATATGTCCTGAATTAGGCTCATGCAAAATGCAAGGTAAAGCTGCTTATGATAGACCCGCATAATGGGTTCTTACCTAGAATAGAACCCCAAATAGAGTTGGAGATTTCTGTCGGGCTGAATTTCATGACTTGCTACAGACATATTGATGACCTGAAAATACAGGAATATACGTGGAAAATGGATATGAGGCAAATGTTTCCAAAGTGAAGTCCTTTATAAGATGTAGAAGCAGGGACGCTTATCATCTTTCACTGACTAATAAGAATATCAATGCTGTAAAAGTGACACTTATTGTCATCACAATTTTATAAATATCAGGCTGCTAACTCTCTAGTAAACCTTGTTAAACATTAGTTAACCCTTTTGAATGGACACTGACATAAATTAACTAATGTTTTCCCCTTTATACTTCCCAATCCTAGGAGAGTTGATTTTAGAAGATAAAGTGTATTTTACTTTATTTCTAATTGTATCACATTTGTTTTCCTCCATCTGGAAAAAAGCAGAGAGGGATTCTAAATAAAACAGTTGTAGATTAATAAGGAGGACCGCATATAAGACTATGTCAGTTCATGCTTTTGACCCCAGTTTGCACATAAGATCTCAAGATCCATCTGTGGCTGTGAGCAGAGAGAGATGGAAGAGGGAGGAGGGGGGTGGAAGTTATTCAAGTACCTCACGTGAGATGAATATCTCCATATATCCAAAATCCAAGAAAGCTTCATATGAATAATAGCTGGAGAAAACAGAGGGGTATTAGAATTCATAGAAAGGGTGACGCCAAATATTTCAATCAGTGAATATGTTGACTAAGAATTCAATAATTCAGAAACCATGGAGTGAGAGGAAAGATAATATAAGGTTTAATAAAATAGATGAAAACACTAAGAACAACCAAAGACATACAGTGTAATAAGACCATAAAAAGCAAAGGACCGAGTATGTTGAATATAAATCACATGGACCATCATACAAGCAAATTATCAAACTCGAGTGTACAGGAAAATGATTAATATACTGCAATACTACGGAAAAATAATCTATTACTTGTAATCGTCACAAAATATGTTTCCTGCAAAAGTTGTGAACAGCTACAGAAAAAATACAACAAATATTTTACTTATCCTGGACCTGGCATTTAGTAGTGCACTTCCCATCATTTGTTTCAAATAGCTTCCCCTATATTATATTACTATAAATTCATAAATTTAAATGAAAAAAGTGTCGTTTGCTCTCCTGAAAATATGAAACTATAAAAGTAGACAACAAGATACCGAACCTCCCATAATTTCAATAGCAACAAACATAAAGTTGCCCAACAATTTTCAGAGAAAAAAGCAATGAATACTTCAGTACATAGGCTATAAGCTTGTCATATTTCAGGCCCTCGCTTCACAAGTCAAATGAAACCAATGCATAAACAAATTATGAAACATATCATTGTAAACGAAATAAGCTCAATAGACATAAAAGTATGATATTTTGATGCTAAACAAATTGAATTGCATTCCAACAGCAGTTAAGGAGAACTTTATATAGTAAAATATATAGATGAGGAAGGAAATGAAGCTTTGAATGAAGAAAACAACCCATCAGATGTGACGAGGATAATAGGAAGACATTGTTCGTTAGCACCCAAAGCAATTATTCTCCATATCAAGCTATCATGATAGAGTGAACCAGTGACTGTAAACTCATCATTTACAGTAGCATGCTTTAGAACTTCAATATTGTTAAGTACCAGCTTCGGCTGCAAGCAACTCCAATACCTTATAATTTGAATTACCACAACACGCAATACAAAAATATGCTATCCAAGTTGATTTGCCCAAAACTAAGGAATCATTTGGATTATCTTATTTGAGTTCATATATTAACATCTCTATAAGCACTTGCAAATTTGTTTAAGAGAGCTTATGGAAACAAGCTATGACATGTCCATTAGCTCCTTTCAACCTATTTCCATAAGCCCTCCAAAATAGTTTATGTAACCAGTTTATAACTAATTTAAGAACAGTAAGACTTTATTGGTGTTGGCCCCGTCTAGATAAGCAACTAAAGATAAAATAAAGTTAAATCATTTTTATATAAGCTGTTTTCATAAGCTATCTTGAAGAGCTAATAAAAATAAGTTGAAAACATCTTGCAAACATGTCATAAGCTATTTTCAAAAATTCTTTCAAACAATCTCACAAATGTTTGTGCCAGTAGATAAATACAAATAAGTCAATATTAACATATTCATATTTTTGGTTATAGAAATATTTTATGCATAATTAAGTTGTTTATACATGCATAGCCTAACTAAAAGAGGCATATAGCGCGATGCCTTTCAAAAAAAAAAAACACTCCCTGATTAATTCTAGATCATAATTAGTTGTAGTACCGACACCTCTAAAAAATGCATGTATGTGTCTGTGTCAGAACCCGACACCCAGCACTTGTGATTACATTTAGTTTATTCATATTTTTAAATTATTATCAGTGTCTACGTGGCAGTGTTGGTGTCATGTTTCGTAGTTAAAATTCATCTTCACATTATTTGCAATTGGTGATAAAAGTACCTGAAAATGATGAATTTCGGCAGCCTGTGATAACAAATCCAACAATAACAAGGGCCAATCAGTTGAAGAATGAGTAAGAGTCCTAGAAAACCTTCCAGTCCGATTCATATGAGCAATGGCATTAGCTCTCCACCCTTGTTGCATCTCAATAACTTTCTTAGCTAGCTTCAACGCAACCACAGATTCCTTGAAATAAGAAGCCTCCTCAACAGACAAAACATTCTTCTCATTTTCCCCAAATCCCAAAACCCTATCGATCTCATCAGCATTACACTGACTCGACATAGTCAAAACCGCACGGTCCCACAGCGCGGCCGGGGAGCCTTTATTAGAGGCTGGAGTGTTCAACACGCGCCGAAGCGATGCAGTGAGACCGTGCCATTTATTGAGCGAAGTAAATATCTGGCGAGAAGTAATGGCTCCCATTCGGAGAGCTTTCTCGGCCATGGCTTCTAGACATTGGTCGAGGCTCTTCCGGCAATCGGATAGAGTGGGAGGTGGGGAGTTGGACCATGAGGCCCATGGAAAGGATGGACCGGTTTGGGGTTTAATGGATTCGGCGAAGTCGACGTAACCGGTGATGTGAGGACCTTTGTTCCAGTCGTTGAGTAAACGTTCTAGAATGAGGGTGGTTTTTCCGACGCCGCGAGGGCCGTGAAGGAGGAGTGGTTGATGGACTCGGTGGTGCTGCGCGTGGTTGTTGAGAATTGTTTCGAGGAGTGGTCTTGGAATGATTCTCCATGGTTTTTTTGATGCCATTTTGTTGTATTGATTTGTGGCAGCTCTGAAGTGAGGTAGAGGAGAGAGAAGAAACGGACGAAGGGTTTTGGGGGTTTAGTTTGGTGACGTCGTTATGTGTCTTCCGGTTAATTTTAACGGGGTAACTTTCCGTCAATATTTGACGTTGATACTGTAGCACGTGAATGTGCCATATTCGATTTTTTATTTTACACAAATAACCAACTCCTCCCACTTTAATACCATAAAATATTCACTTTTCCCATATTTTTCAATATACTCATTTAAAATAAAATAAAAATATCAGTCCACAAGTCACTTAGGCTAGGAGGAGAAGTTGTAAAGAGAGAAAAATGTGAGAAAGAGTAAAAGAGAGAAAATGGTGAGAAAGAAAATATTTTTTTTTATTGTTTATTATAAAAAAAAAGAAGTGGGTTAGTTTTTGAAAAAGACAAAAATACCCTTAAACTGATACATTTGTAAAATTATAATTATTACATTATAATTTCTAAATTTTTTAAATTTTAATACGTGTGAAATCAAATTTATTTTATAAATTAGTTTACTTTATAATTTAATTTTTATTAATGATTATTATTATAAAAAAAATTTAGATAGTAAAAATAAAAGTTTTTTTGAGGAAATTTCACTCACAAGAATGGGAGCACGCGGGGGCGTGGGAGGCCGAAGAAGACGGTGCCAATGTTATCGAAGGTACGTGTAATACCTGTGCAACAATCTAAAGACACTCACCATAAATGTTCTAGCACCAAAATAAACTCAGACGACATTGAAAAGCCTGATAATATTGAGGAAACTAGGGGAAAATGGAACCTTATAAAAAAGGATTATTAAAATTGGATCGGAATCTTCAGCAGAAAGGAAACTATGGGTTGATGTAGGCATCGACAATAGGAATTCGGCCATTGGAATGGTGATTGAATATGTTGCTTCAACCTTAGTTAACGGGGAAATAGAAATCAAAATTGAAGACGAATATGTCAAATCTGAAATGAAGTTTTAGGAATCTTCTCTGATAATGTATGTTCTTGTAGGAGACTTGAGTATGAATATGGTGAGGCAATTTATGGTGAAAACTTGGAACTTTGTACAATTGTCAGATTTATTCTACCATAAGGAGGGTTACTTTCTCCTCAAGTTTTAAACACATAAGGATATGAACACGGTGATGATGAAGGGCCCCTACACCATTCGAAACATGCCAATGCCGCTCAGAGAATAGAAGTCAAATTTTAACCTCAAGAAATACATGATGCGAACATTACCGATATGGATTAAGCTCCCTTAACTGCCTCTCCATGTTTAGGGAGCAAAGAGCCTTAGCAAAATTGGAAGTACAGTTGGAAATCATCTAGTTACAGACGAGCGTACTGCTAACAAATTGTGTGTCTCCTATGCCAGAATTTTGGTGGAAGTAGATGTAACACAAGAGATGGCTAAGGATATCACCATCAAGGATCGAGAAGGGAAAATTTTGAAACAGCCTGTGGAGTACAAATGGAAGCCATTGTTTTGTGATAAATGTCAAAATTTTGGACACAAGCGTGATGACATGAAAACTGAGGAGGTGTGGATACCGAAAGCTAAACAACCGGCAGAAGACAACATACCACAACAGGTCAAACATGCTTCTTCTGCATTTATTGCATATGCTAAAGAGATCGAAGCTCCCAAATTAGATTAGATAATAGCCAACAAAAGTGGGAGGGACAAAGGTAAAGGTACGAGTCTTAAAGGCAACACAAGTAGGTTTCAATGTGTCAATGTGTTTGAATCACTAGAAGTTTTGAATGACTCCTCAGTGATTCATGATGGTGACCCATGTTAGTCGCATGGAACATTCGAGGGCTAAACAAGACAGGTAAGCTTAGGGAGGTTAGCTCTCGTCTCCTAGAGCTTCAACCTGCTATTGGAATTCTTCTTGAAACAAGGGTGAAAAAAGACAAGTCTGTTGTTGTTGGAGGGAAACTCAATTGGAAGGAGAATTATGTGAACAACTATGATTCCCATGACAATGGGAGGATTTGGATGCACTGGGATATCAATGAGGTATATGTTAAACTCATATCAAACACTAACCAAATGATTCACTGTTGAGTATTTGATTTGACTAGCGATTTCTATACTGGCTAACGACAATCTACGCTCTTAATAAGCTTGAACAGAGGAAGCGATTATGGAAGGATATTGAGGAAATCCATGAGAACCAACATGGAGCTTGGTGTTTAATAGGTGAATTTAACAGTATGATTCAAACCAAAGACCATGTCGGAGGCAAATTAGTGACCGAGGCTGAATATATCAATTTAACCAACACGACGAGCAAAGTTGGGTTGTTTGAAAAAGAAAGTAAGGGGCACTACTATACATGGTCGAACAAACAAATTGAACGAACAATATATTCTATAGTTGATAGGATTTTGGGGAATGTGGAATGGATTCAATCCAACATGTAGGAATTGGAGTATCAATTGCTTTTGCATTAGCCACATCAAAGTGCTTGAGTAGCTCATAGTGGTACTTTGTTTGACTCACGAACATTCTTTCTTCAAGTTGTTTGATTTGGAATCCAAGGAAGTAGTTTATCTCCCCCGTCATGCTCATTTCAAGCTCACTGTGCCTCAACTTAGAAAATTCCTTGACCAAATGCATGTTAGTAGATCCAAAGATAATGTCATCTACATAAACTTGTACTAATATGGAGTGTTTTCCTTGACGTTTAATAAAGAGAGTGGTATTAACATTCCCTCTTGAGAATCCTTGGTCTAGTAAAAATTTGTTAAGACGTTCATACCAAGCCCTATGGCTTGTTTAAGACCGTACAAAACATGTTTAAGCTTATAAACATAGTTAGGATACTCATGACTTTCAAAGTCGGGTGGTTGAGATACATAGACCTCTTCATTAATGTATTCTTTTAGGAAAGATGGTAAAAACCTACAAGGGATTCCATATCAAGTCTCAATACAAAGAGAGATAGAATCCAACAATCTGAATAAAATTTTACAACTTCACATATCTGCTTGATCTCAACCTGGCTAGAGAAACACACTCAGCTGGAGAAATCTGATTCAAGACTCAGCTGAGAAACCCGGGTTCAGGATTCAACTGGGAAATATTGAATTTAATGTTCAGCTTGGAAACACCCAAACTAATGCTCAACTAGGGGGGTTGGATCACAAAAAACCCAACACATAATATCAACTTGGAGGAAACCAACTATCTAATTAACAACTATAGGGGAAATCTGAATGTATTCACAAATCAAAGGAAAATATTGTTTTTGTAATTTTCAAAATCATGATTGTTATTTATCTTTTATTTCAAAAACTATTATAAAAAATAAATGAAATTTTGCAAAACATAAACAAAATAAGAATTGGAATTAAATGAACAAAGGCTCAAATTTTATTGATAGAATGGTAGTATGCAAATGGCGTGACTCCATTGACCATTACAAAGTTGAAAAATGGTAAATAAAGAAAAATTCTACATTGAAATACAATAACCAATATTCTCACTAACAACTTTGAATTCCACTGTTATCAAAACTTCTGTCGAGAATGATGAGAATGAGCATCCTTGATGGGAAATTTTGCTTTAAGTGATCAAGTTTGGCCTAATATAGTTACTTGCCATAATCCATAACTTTTTCCTAGATTGCCCTTTCGAGTTTTCAATCTATCGGGATGATTATTTTTTGTTTATGTCTCTATATTTTGTGTGGACCCCTTTCAGGTTTTCAACCCACCGAGACGCTCATTTTTTCCTAAGCCGCCCTTTTGGGTTTTCAACTTAGCGAGTTGTTCTTTATTTTTTTAGGCGAAGTATTTCTTGACTGCATCAGCATTCACAAGAGGAGAGAGCTCCTTACCATCCATAGTCGTAAGACTTAATGAACCGTTAGAGAAAGTTCCTTAACAACATATGGGCCTTCATAATTAGGAGTTCACTTTCCCCTAGAATAAGTGTTGAAAGATAATATCATTTTGAGCACGAGGTTGCCTTCTCTGAATACACGATGCCAAACCTTCTTATCAAATTCTTTCTTCATTCTTTTCTAATATAACTGACCATGACACAAATTTGTCATCCTCTTCTCTTCAATCAAATTCAATTGATCATATTTGCTTTGATATCATTCAGACTCAGACAACTTAGCTTCCATCAAGACTCGCATCGATGGGGATCTCAACCTCTGTGGGGGGGGGGGGGGGGGGGGGGGGGGGACTGCTTCCATGCCATACACAAGTAAGAAAGGGGTTTCCCTTATTAAAGTGCGGACGAATGTACGATACCCATGCAAAGCAAAATGGAGCATCTCATGTCAATTTTTATATGTCACAACCATCTTCTAGATAATCTTCTTAATGTTCTTATTTGCAACTTCAACAACCTCATTCATCTTAGGTTTGTAAGGAGAATAATTATGATGTTCAATCTTGAAATCATCACAAAGCTCTTTCAACATCTTATTATTCAAGTTCGACCCATTATCAGTAATGATCATACTCGGAACACCACTATAATACCCTAATTGTTTCCCCTAAGATCCCACATATCCTTTGCATTTCATACCACAAGCAAGATCACAAGCTTTGGTTCTATTGTCTTTCTCTGCAGGTTTGTCTTTGAGGGATATCATTGGGCACCCTTGTTTTCTTGTATGCTCGGTGTTTGTTTATGTTTATGTTTACTAACCCGAATTAAAATCCAAAAAATATGTTTGTTTTCTTTTTCTTTAATAACTCTTTTTCAGGAAGAGAATTTGGATCAAGAATATCAAATATCAGTTCCTCAGCTCGAGTGAAATTCATTTGAAGAAGTCAAAGTTGATCTGCAAATAATTCAAAATCATCTGATCAAGAGTTTCCCAAAATTTGATTGACTTTTATTCAAGAGACTTCAAGGTTCATGCGTTTATTTCCATGCCTTCTTTGACAAGTCAAAAAATTGAGTCAGAGCCAAGACAACACATCAAAAGGAAATTTTTCACATAT